AATATCATCAAACCATTTCAGGATCTCATCCAGTAAAACAAGTTGTCAAATCAGAAGCAAGAAATATAGGAAGAGCAATGAGAAGGAATGAGGCAAATAAAAAAAGTAAAAAAGGCTGGGGTCTGTAAGCATTCAAGATTGGTAAGTGTATGCTTGTATGTGTGCATTCCAAATACATACCCATTATTAGATATTAATTATAGCATATGGTATTAATTACAAAGGCTTCATTCCTCGAGGGAAGAGCTAAATACTGCATCATTTCATTCATTTGTAAAAGTAGGAAAGAACAAATTTTAGAGATTTTTAATTCAAAATTGGATCATATATTAAAAGCATCTTTGAAAGTTAAAGTCCTTGGCATGTAAAATTCATATAAATATATATAAGAAATGTGAATTCTTTATGTTTACTAATTTTAAAATTTAAGTAAGGAATTATAAAGGAATATTAGATAAGATTGGCAAAATAAGCCTTATAAGTTTATTAGAAAACAGGCTATTATGTTGTAATAAAAAATATTTCCAGATCCATTTGGAACTAAATATTTGAATATGTGGCAATTACTTTCTTAAAATTCTGGTTTAAATTTTATCTTTCTCCTGCCTTTTCCTTGTTTATCACTAAACTGTGAAATTTGCAGGTCACAGACACTTGCCTCCTCATGCAGACCGCTAGAGGGTTCTAGTTTCCTCTTTTCCAGGCCCTCGGAGACTAGACCTGCCCAACCTCTGGTGCGAGTGCGCCATCTAGTGGCTTTGAAATCATTGCTGTCTGAGTGCAATGTACTTATTGTACTGCCTGTTAGAAAATACCATGGCATATATTTTTAGAAAATATTAAGAATTCTAAACAAAAATGCCAAATTCATGAAAATATTTTTTCTAAAGTTTATACTTAAATCATTTAATAATGACTTTAGTTATTAAACTGAAATGAGAGAAATTCACAGTACACAGTAGTTGTGTATAGCCCAGATTTAAATGACCATTCATTTACATATACTGCATATTTATTTAAATGCACTGTACACTGCTTCATGGAGATAAATCACACACAATTTAGACCAGTGAATAGGAACAATTACCTGATGACAATCACATGTGTGTGTGTGATTGCTTATATGTGTATATATGTATGTATGTATGTATATACACATATATATGTATATGTAAAAACATATATATATTTGTATATATTTGTTTCCCCCCCGCCTCCTTTTTTAACAGGCCTTAAACAATTTACTACTTGTAGGTGTTAAGGCATTTGAAATATTTGATCAAATCTTTATGCCATTATTTAAATTACACATTTACAAAATAATCCTTATTTTTCTTTTCAAAAGGCATTCTTCAGAATTTTTTAACTCTAACTTCCTTGCTAATATATAGAAAATGTTCCTCTTTCACATTCTTACAAGTGATTCATTTGCTGTCTAAGTCCTAAATAGAGGACTTGATCATGTATTCATAAAGCAAAAGAACAATGTTAAAGGTAAAATTACTGTATCTTGCTCAGAGAAAGCATCTCATTGCTACTTGCTTATCTCCTATAGCATGAGTAGTTCTCATAAGTCATCTGTTATAATCCCAAACTTCACATTATTACCAGTCACACACAAATAACTTGCTCAATATGCCTGAAGCAAAGGGAAGGCTAAGAAGATATTTATTAAAATCAATCCCAACAGAACCTGTGCTGATTTCATTTTGAACATGAAGTTATGAAATCTTACAAATAATTGTAAATCAGGAATCAGTATGGGCTCACTTTGAACCAGCGGCAGCAAATAAACCAAATGTCATTCTTTCTTTTGAAAAATACCGTGCTTTGATTGATAGTTTAGAAACTACACCTTGCACAATGTCACTCTGCTAAGTGGATGAATGAATTTGGTATATGGGTTATAGCAGGAATTTCACATAGATTTTTTTAATGTAGCTGAGGGATCAAAAACTATGAATTAGAGGTCAGAAAATTAGGTGAATTTTTAATTACTGATTAATGAATCAAGACCCATATTGATAGAAGTTTTTCTGTGAACCTGTCCTACTCAATATCTGGCAAAAATAGAGAAGCTGGAGGAGAGATATACTATACTAACAGCAAGTTAGATGGGAAGAGAGTTATTTTAATTTAATAGAATAATAGGTCCAAATCAGTAAAATGGATATAGGATAACTATTGTATCTCCTAGACTTGAAGGAGTATGTGCAGCCTTCACAGTAATGATGCTGGCTTGTGTCTCCTGCAGGAAATCATCCAGACTATGGCTACACACACCCAGGGAGAGGAAACCTACTAAGGCACACCTTGCTTTATTGTATTTTGCTTCATTGTGATTCACAGGTGTTCACGCCTTTTTTTTTTTTTTTTTTAATTGATTTTTTTACAGAGAGGAAGGGAGAGGAATAGAGAGTTAGGAACATCGATGAGAAAATAACATCAATCAGCTACCTCCTGCACCCTCCCTCCCCCAACTGGGGATATGCCCACAACCAAGGTACATGCCCTTGACTGGAATCTAGCCTGGGACCCTTCAGTCTGCAAGCTGACACTCTATTCACTGAGCCAAACCAGTCAGGGCTTTTTTTTTTTTTTTTTTTTTTTGGTAACAAACTGAAGACAAGACTCTCCATCAATAAAAATATTACGACTCGCTTTATTGTGGTGGTCTGGGACTGAACCTGCAATATCTCTGTGAGGTATACGTGTAGTTCCAAAGGAGTCATCAGATGAGGGATGGGGTCCAACTAAAAACTGCATGTTCAGGTTTAAAAGAAATCAGTTACAGGTACAGGGGATGGACAAGATCTAGTTTTCATCAGTTTTTGTTTTTTTTTAATTTAGATGATCAAACAGAAAATCAACTGTTAAAAGACTTAACATGACCTTTGACTCTATGAAGAGATGTCCATTAACAACACCGTTCCCTCGATCTGCGGTGTGGAAGACTGAAAAAGACAGTGGTGACATGGGTTACATCTAGAAAAATGTGGCTGAGAGAACTGAGGGTGTTTGGAGAAATGAAGGTGCCAGTGGTTTATGCCAGTGTTATGAGGAGCACCAGGGCCAGGAAGTGAAAATTACAGGGTGATCACTGGAGTTAGCCCAGACAAGGGACCCAGAGCCAAACACCACCGTAAGGAACAATGCAACATGGCAAGAGAGGGGATGGCAAGGGTACAAACTTATAACTAGGAGGTAAATAAGTTCTGAAGATCTAATGCACAGCATGGCGATTATAGTAAACAAATTGTTCTCCCTACAAAAAAAGAAATGATAATTATGTGACACCATACAGTTGTTAGCTAAGCTATGGGAGTAATCTTATTGCAATATGTAAGTGTATCAAGTCACTACATTGTACACCTTAGACTTATACAATGCTGTGTGTCCATTACGTCTCACTTAAAAAACACAAATTATTAGTCTAGTTATTAGCTCTTTACTGATTTTAAACCCAAGTATTTAATTATACAAAGAATCTGCCCTCAGAAATGTCACCCAACTTATTTTGCATAAGAATAAGCTCTCTGACACTCAAAAATGTTTGAGGAGAGATGGGAAAATGAAGGCTGTGTGCACATTTCTCGATCAGGAACCACACTTGAACACACAGGAGATGATGGCAGTGGCAGCAACAGGGGTGAAGGTCAAATCAAAGGTGTCCGAGTGTGCAGAAAGCAGCACAGCAGTCACCTGATCTCTGTGAGAGAGGACACCCATGGGATGGGATCCCCCTCGTAAGGAAACAAACTACATTCTGAACCACTTGGACCTCAGAAGTCTATGACTTCATGTTACCAGTAAGCCAAGCTAATTAATTCCACTTCAGCATGCAGGGTTTACATTGCTTTGAATTACAATGCATATATCATGTCTGCCCTACTTCCCACAGTACACGGTAAAACTTGTAATCTTGTAATGCCATGGAGTTCTATCCCTTAATAGTACCCAATTAAACCTTTTCCTCTCTGTCACTGTTCATCACTTGGATAAATGGAATAGAGGTGTCTGTGTGAGAATGAGGCTGATATGTATTTTAGAAAGTTTAAGGCAAGGAAGAATAATTTGAAATATATTATATGATGACTAACTGAAGAAAGGTCATTCTTTTATTATCTAAGCAGGAATGATCCCATAAAGGTAATATGACTTGATCATACTATAATTTTGTTCACTATCTAGCGATAGAGTAAAACATGTTACTCATTTTCATGTCTCTATACTCGTTCTTTGCCTCAATGTTAAAGAAACTGATTCAAAAATAGTACCTAAGAAAGAGAAGAAAGCTTCTGGGGAAGCTCAGGATCAATGGAGAGAGAGGAAACTGAAACTCAGTGGAAAAGCGGAAGATATCGGAGGCAGGGAAGAAAGAGGGAGGAGGGAATTTGCAAAATGTGTTGATTATTTTGTAAGTATTAAAAGCATAAAGCATTAAATGAGCAAAAAAGTCAACTCCTGATCTTATAATGCTTTTGTGACTTCAGGCAAACCTCCTCCTCTGCCATCACGTCATCACCCCCTCCACCACCCCCGCCCTGCGCGCCCCCCCCCCCCCCCCCCATACACACACACACACAGGATCCCTGCTTCCACGTGAGGAGGCACGGGGCAGTCTCTGGAAAGGAGCTTTGGAAATGTCTCTTACAAGAACGGCAAAGGATGATTCTGAATGATTTTACTACCTCGGCTGGGAAACGGTTAATATAGTATGGTTATTTATTTTTATTTTTTGTTAATCCTCACCTGAGGATACCTTTTCCATTACTTTGTAAAGACACAGAAGAAATAACTTTCTTGGTTGCTAAAGTTCACTAAGACTTAAGCCTTTTTGAACGGAGGGAGGAAAAGCATTCTGCTCAGAAAGGAACCGAACTGAAGAAATACGTGCGGTGACACCATCCAGCACCCTCGTGGCTCCAGGGTCCGGAGGGGAGCAGCTGGCCCTTCTGGACGCTGCCTGACCCTCCGGCGGGAAGCCCTGCGGAGTGTACCTGTGTGTGTCCTCCGATGAGCCTTCAGGTGAGAACTTTTTGTGTACACTTTGTTGCATCCCTCAAAATCACATCTGTGAATCCGCCGCTTTCTGGAGTCTGGGGATTCAGACCGTCTCTGGCGTCTTGTGCTCTCAATACTAAATGGTGAAATGGAACTGGAAAGGGAAAACATGGAGTTAATCAGTGAGAAACACAGCAGTCTGTCTTGGTCCTCGTAGCAGGAGACCTTAGTCTCACAGTCTAAGCTTCACACAGACGCAAGGCCCTGGTCCGGGTTTCCCAGACATGTGTCATTTCTCAGTCTCAAAGGCAGGCCGTTTGATCTGTTTCTGGTGAAGCACTCCTAGGGAGCGAAAGACATACTTAAAACAACATCAAGACAAAAACAAAACCTAAATGAAAGCAGTGGCAGCTGAGCTGATCCTCATTATCGAATAAGAAGCAAGCTGGTGGTGTTCCAATTATACCTTAAAATTGTGAACTTCAGAATACGCTTACAGAGAATATTCTAGGAAGTCCTGCTATAGACAAGTGACAAAAATGAAGGCTTTTGGTAAGTAGCATGAGGGTCTGAACTGCATGTGACAACAGAGAAAACCATGTAAAATCACAATGTACATTTCAAAACAAGTGAGGTCGGGCTGAGAGAAGTACATCCTACGTCAATTACATGACTCATGACAAGCTATTTCTGTTCAGTAAAATGCACCTGACATTTAACTTCTACAGTCGGTGGTTTTCCACGGTGAGGAATAAAGTTCATTGTATTTAAAGATTAGCTGTACCAACATTAAGGGGGGAAAAAAAAGTTTAACTATGAAATTTGGCCCCAACTTGCACGATGTTTAATCTTAATGCCGTGGTAGAAAAACAGGATTAGCTTGTAATGTCAGGTAATTGATTAACATGCACTTCTTCAAACCTTAATCTCTTTTGATTGCAATAGAAATGAAGAACATGACTCATTTTTTTCCATTGTTCATGAAGTTTAAAAAAATTATAATGAAATAGAATTAAATGTTTGCTATACTACACCATACTTCTGCTATAAAAAATTTACCACTGTTGATATTTTGACATATTTTCTTCCCATTTTCCCATGTGTTGATGCTTTAAAAATGTATTTTGTATTAATAAGTCACTTTTAAAATAAAACCCTGTACATTATAGTTAGAGATAAATCTCACATCTTCCATAATCAACCTGATCCCTTCTCCTCCTCTATCATCAATTTTCTTTAAATCCCTCCGAATTCCTTTAAAGTATGCTTACTTATCCATATTTGCATTCATCAAAACTCATTGTTTTTATGGTTTTTAAGAGGTAAAATAATATACTGTTCACATTATTCTGAAAATGGGTTTTCACTCAACATTAAGCATTCGAGATCTATCCATGTAGATACAAATACAGTACCACATTTTATTTATTTGAAGTGCTATATATCATGACTGATTTTAATATTTTTTCAATATTTTAATGTTACCAAAATTAGGATTCTTAAAATTAGTAGCTTGTCATCATTTAGCTGACATGCCATTTTTTCTTTATTAATGGTACATAATCAATGGTACATTTTTCAATAGATGACATTTTAACTTAGGTTAGGGGTTGGTAAACTTTTTCTGTAAAGAGATAGATAGCAAATATTTGATTTGCATTTTGAGAGCCAGTCTATGCTGTAACAAATCAACCCTGAAATTATAGCATGAACGTAGCTATGGACAAAATATAAACAAATGAGTATGCTATGTTCCAGTAAAACTTTATTTAAAAATAAAGAGTGGGTTGTATTGGCCCATAGGCTTTAATCGGTCCATAGGCTTTAATTCACCAAACTTGGGTGAAATATGATAATAGTCTAATGCATATTCATTCCAGATATTTATTTATTTATTTATTTATTTATTTATTTATGTTAACTCTCACCCAGGGATATTTTCCATTGACTTTTAGAGAGATTGGAAAGGAGGGGGAGAGACAGATATAGAGAAATATTGACGTGAGAGAGACACATCGATTGGTTGCTTACTACATGCACCCTGACAGGGGTTGGGGACCAAGCCTATAACCAAGGTACCTGTCCTTGATCAGAATTGAACTCGTGATCCTTCTAAGAGCCAATGCTCTAACCACTGAAGAAACTGGCTAGGGCTATCCAAGAGTTTTAAAATCCTCTTCCAAAAGATGGACATAAGATTCCTTTATTTATTTATTTATTTATTTATTTATTTATATTTATTGTTGAAAGTATTACATACATCCCCCCCTTTAAAAAAAAATATATATATATATATATATATATTTTATTGTTTTTTTACAGAGAGGAAGGGAGAGAGATAGAGAGCCAGAAATGTCGATGAGAGAGAAACATCGACCAGCCGCCTCCTGCACATCCCCCACCGGGGACATGCCCGCAACCAACGTACATGCTCTTGACCAGAATCGAACCCAGGACCTTTCAGTCCTCAGACCGACGCTCTACCACTGAGCCAAACAGGTTTTGGCCATACGTCCCCTCTTTATTCCCACTGACCCCCTGCACTCTGCATCTGTCATCCCCCAAGGCCTTCACCACACTATTGTCTGTGTCCATGGGTTATGCATATATGCATATGTTCTTTGGTTAATCTCTCCCCGCCAACCGACCCACCCCCACCTCCCTTCTGAGATTCATCAACCTGTTCCATGCTTCTACGTCTCTGGATCAATTTTGTTCATCAATTTATTTTTGTTCATTTGATTCTACATATGAATGAAATCATGAAATACTTGTTTTTGCCTGACTGACTTATTTCTCTTAGCAGAATACTCTTCAAGTGCCTCCATGCTGTTAGGTTATGTCTAACATTTCACTATAACATTGCTCCAATCAACTTTTTAAGTTTATTTTTTCTAAAATACTTTAATGATTTTTAGAGAGGAATGGAAAGGGAGGAGAGAGACACTGATGTGAGATCAACAGCCATTGGCTGTCTCCTGCACACCCCCTCCCTGGGATCACAGCCTGCACCTTAGGCATGTACCCTGACGGGGAATGGACCTGGCAACCTTACAGTACACTGGATGCTGCCAACCAACTAAACCACACTGGTTAGGGTCAAACTGCTTTTAAATGTCTCCTTCTACACATGTGCCTTTCAAGTTTTCAATATATCATTTTACTTATAATAAGATTCTGTAGCCAAAGCTTTATATTATTAGGTAAATTAAAATATAAGTGATGTGTATCTACTTAAACAGTTTTATATAAGATCTCTATTAGTAGAATGAAAAAAAGAATGAGTTATCTAAGCCATTTTTTCCAGTCTTCTTATCAGTCAGTGTGGATTTGTGGTTTTCTACATAAGTGACTCAGCTACAGGGATTGGAGCTTATTGTGAAAAGAGTCAAAATGATGTGACTGGCATGCTCATAAAAGAACAGCATTAGTCAGTCCTGACAAGGGTGTGGTTCTTGTGCACAAATAAGATTTATGTGTGAGAGTAGGGCAACATTTCCTGAATATCTAGGCAATAAATATGGATCTTGGTACTAGGGACCTCAAAAACAGAAACTTTTGTGTTGTGATGTTTGGATCTTCTAAATTGAGAAAATAATATGGTATTTGTTTCCTTCAAATTATAACTTAGAGTCTATAATAAGAGCACTATTTTTGTACACTACTTTATATATAGTAGTTAGAGGCCCAATGCATGAAAATTTGTGTAAGAGTAGGCCTTCCTTTCCCTGACTTCGGGCACTGGCTTCCCTCTGGCACTTGGGACCTGGGCTGCTTACCTCCTCCAAATTTTGTGCACTGGGCCTCTAGTATATCTATAATAATAAAAGCATAACATGCAAATTGATCGAACGACCGAACAGCAGAACAACTTCCGATAACCACATATGAATGAAATCCTGAAATACTTGTTTTTGCCTGACTGACTTATTTCTCTTAGCAGAATACTCTTGCTGTCTCCTGCACACCCCCTCCCTGGGATCAGAGCCTGCACCCTGGGCATGTACCCTGACGGGGAATGGACCTGGCAACCTTACAGTACACTGGATGCTGCCAACCAACTAAACCACACTGGTTAGGGTCAAACTGCTTTTAAATGTCTCCTTCTACACATGATAACCACACTATGACACGCACTGGCACCAGGCCAGCCAAGGTGTGTGCAGTGCTGTTGGTCGGTGGGGGGAGGGGACCCTCCTGCCATTGCCTCATATTGCCCTGCAGAGGGAGGCCCAGAACACCAGCTGGTGGGGTGAATGATCGGTGGTGGGGGGCTTTTTGATTGCCCCAAAGAGGGTGACCCAGGTCATCCTCTGCAAGGTGATTGATCGTGGAGCCCCGGCCAGGTGGGTGGGGCCTCCCGCTGCTGGGTGACCGATTACAGAGCCTGCGATTGATCGGCCCATAGAGGGAGGCCCAGGCCAGCCAAGCGATTGCACCCCATGCCTGTTGCCCACAGAGGGAGGTGACCGGTGCCAGGGGAGGGGAGGGGAGGGAAAGCAGTGGCAGCGGCAGGGGTGGGCCAGCTTCCTGCAGCTGAGGGAAGGAAAGCCCGGATAGACCCCTTGGCCAGCAAGGCCGAGGGACTCTTCCGGAGGGGTCCCCGAGAGCAGGCAGCCTGGGTTGAAGTGCACAATGTGGTGCACCAAGCCTCTCGTTCAATAATGTTGTAATAACTATTTACCAGGTGAGATGAGTAGTAGTTTTATCAGGGTGATCACTTCTTAAGCTATACAAATGTCTAATCACTGCTTTAAACACCTGAAACCAATATAGTACTGTGCACATTAACTGTAATTGAAAAATAAAAAACACACAAAATGTAAAACACCCCATATGTACATAAGTACTTCAGTTCTCTGCTCTAAGTTCAAGAGAAGGGCATTTTAAAGCATCGTTTATAGTTGAAATTCTCAGTGGGAGGCCATTGAGATCCCTCTGAACATGCATAGGATGCTGGTGAATAAAATACGAACCTTCCCTTTGACCCTGGTTAGCATCTAGGTAAGTGGCAAAGGGTGAAGGAATGATCCTTCTTCTCAGCAATTGTCATCCTGTCCTGTCTCACCAGGGGGCTCAGAAGCAAGGGTGTTTGGTGACAGAATAGCTATAATGACACTTTTAGGTGATTCTATTCCACCTGCCCAAGCTTTC